AAAAACCTCCCCACACTGACCCTAATTCCCAAACCCAGAAAGCCACAACACTGTGAATTCCTTAGGGTGGTGCCAGTCTCATCTTCTTAAACTTCCCATGCTCCTGTTGAGGGCTAAGGAAACGCTTATCTCCCTGAGTGTGGCCTTCATAACACCATTCCATCACACATACCTTCCTAATTCACATGAGTATAAGAACGGGAGGAATTACAGCACAATCAGATTTGCAACATTCTGTTGTCATAGCCACTATCAATAAAAGTAATATTAGCCTTCTGTGGAGTTGATTCTTGGTCTTGTCTATCTGGTGGGGTTGACAACAGTTTTGCAAATCTCATTGTGCTGTACCTCCTCCCCTTCTTATACTCATGTGAATTAGAGAGGTGTCTGCCTGAGCCTTTTCTGCATATTTTCTGCTTGTTGTGGACTTAAGATATGTTTTTCCCCTGGTAATGGTAACGAATCTTGCCTATCTCTATTAAGATAGTCTTTCTTACTCTCAACAGCTCTCTCTTCACCAGACTGAATGATAGCCAGTTAACTGCCTATGCCGCATGAAAACAACTGAATGGTTTTGTACCATTTTCATTCAGGGGCAGGAAAAGAACATAGGCTGAGGCTTCTGATGGAGTTGCTGATGTCTTCAGAGCCAAACATGAAATTATAGCCAGTTCCCTGGAGACCCTGCCACAATTGAGAATGGTCCTGTGCAGATGTTAACTGAGCAGGACTACTTACATCCTTCATATGTACACACTACTGCATAGAGCTAGAATGTGTGAAGCAGTTTTTTTACTGGGATAAAAATTATATGTTAGCTCTGTAATAAAATCTGACTTTTCTCTTTTTAAAATTATTGCTATTTTTATCAGTGCAATAAAATAAAATAAAAAATAAATAAATAAAATAAAATAAAATAAAATAAAATAAAATAAAAAACTAACTACCATAGCCTCCACAGATTTTGTGGTGATGCCTATAGAGACATTGCATAGATGAATTCCTCAGAGTTTGTTCTGAGGTCCTTTTGCCAGTAGGGGCTTTGAGGAAGTGAATAAAACTTTCTGATCCACTGCTTTGAAGACTGGAGAAGAAGAAAGCCTTAAGAACTCAGCAACATTTTCTCCTGTGATACAGATAAAGACAGGTTACCTTAAATATATTCATAGGCTTTTGACATAATTCTGGGAGAGGAATTGTACCAAAATATAACTGTGTATTTTTATATCTACCTCCTAGAGAATAGTGTAGTATTTTAAGTCTCCTTTCAGCATCTAAACCTAGAAAGAAAGAAAGAAAGAAAGAAAGAAAGAAAGAAAGAAAGAAAGAAAGAAAGAAAGAAAGAAAGAAAGAAAGAA